TATTTTTTTATGGATTTCGTATTTTATTTTTATCGCTGATGTAGTTGGGTATGTCCACTACTATTTTATTTTAATTTCTTCCTCGTTTGACTTTGAAGTATAAGATTTCGATTTATTTATTTTGACATTGTCAAGAATTAATGCGTTGCTTCTATGTGTTTACATTAGCATTATACGCGATGTACTTGAGGAGGGGATCAGTCTCCCAAGGTTTTTGTTAGGGGTCGTGCCCTTTGTTTTTGACCACTTGGGTCTATAATATTTTTGTCCGTGGCCACGTTTTAAAAGTAGCACCTCGTGAAACAGTTAAAGGGACTTAGCTAATCCAGCTGGCCAGGCTATACGGATTATCCAAATCACTCTAAGTGTTTGTAGGGTGGTATTGATTTGAACTCATGGTAAGAGGTTATTTGTATAGACGTAAAGGCGTAGATAGTAAAGCGAAAAATATATATTCAACGATAGCATAGGAGAATTGTTACATGCCTATGTGAGGCGAATGTAAGTAAATGACTAATGCGATGGGCCTACGTGAGGCAAAGGTAAATAACTACTGGTGGAGCGAGAAAGAAAAAAAAATTGACTTGATAAAAATTGTTCTAAGTGATTGTACTACACTTGTTCTTCTTCTTCCACGTCTTGCTTGTACTCGTTCGTTTTGCTGCGTTGATGGTAAAATGAATTCCTTTGGCGTTTCTATGCCTGTCAAATATAATTGAGAAAAAAGAATTTTGTCTAAGCATTTGTATTGAAGACTTAGTAATTGAAGCTGAGGGGATGCGTATTGCGCTTTCACGTACCCTACTACGGATTTGATTTTTCTTTCTCGCACTCCAAGACATGAAATGAAGTCGTGAGTTGTCGCGAGTTGCTATGCGATCGTGCCTGCTAGTGGGATTATTTTGTCACGTTAGTAATCGTAAATGAGATTATCTGTGTGTTGAGTTCTAGTAGAAGTATAGTTACCCTTGACGATGTGGTATGGAGTGTCTTCGAGCAAGCAGCGCATTGATTGCTTAATATACATCCTCACGTAGTAGGTTCTCGACCTGTAAGGAGACGATGGGATGTGATTATGAATTTCTGATGTAAGTAGCAATTACTAGCCCCCCAGCTTAGGAGGGACATTAACGCACCTTGTTATGTGGTGCGGAATTTCCAACCATGTCTAAGCAGCTTTACAAGACGAGTGACGTGGAAGGTTGTGGAGCCTGCATGGGTGAAAATTTGTAAGTAATTTTTCTTTAGTAGAGATATGGGTGATGATCTCAAATGATCAGAAGTAAGGTAGATGTATACCTTAGGCGTAGAACCGTTTGAGGTTCCCTATATTCCATGTTCTGGGTATAGGGTGTCCGTCAATGTTCTCGAGGCGATATGCTCCAGTGTTGACCACCTTTGTGATTTTATACGGTCCTTCCCACTTTGGGTCGAGCTTTCCGATGGGGTGGGAGGCTTCAGCTTTTCGGAGGACTAAATCTCCGACTTGAAAGGAGCGAGGGCGGACCTTTGAGTTATATGCCTTGGCCATGCGTGATTTATACATCTGTTGTCGGATGTATGCGATCTCACGTAACTCATCTATGAGGTCTAGGCTTCCCCGCATAGCCTTTTCATTAGCTGTTGGGTCATAGTTGGTGACTCGCCAAGATGGTTCTCCGATTTCGACGGGTGCGATAGCCTCCGTGCCAAAAGCTAGATTGAAAGGCGACTCTCCGGTTGCTGCGCGTGTGGTTGTGCGATAGGCCCATAGGGCGTTAGGCAATTCTTCCACCCATTTTCCTTTGGCACTTCCCAGCCTTGTCTTAAGGTGTTGGAGGATAGTGCGATTTGTAACCTCCGTCTGGCCGTTAGCTTGTGGATTTGCTACCGATGTGAAGAACTGCTTGATGTTCAAGCCGAGGCACCAATTTTTTACCTTGTCCCCGCAAAATTGAGTTCCATTATCCGAGATGATGGAACGCGGGATTCCGAAGCGGCACACGATGTTCTTCCATAGAAATTGGATGACTTCTTCTTCTCGGATGCGTGCCAAGGGTTCAGCCTCCACCCATTTGGTGAAGTAGTCCACTGCTACAATGAGGTATTTGCGTCCTCCTGTGGCGGGCGGGAATGGTCCAACCAAATCCATCCCCCATTGGGCGAAAGGGATGGGGCTGTCAATTGGTTGCATTAACGCCGCTGGCATGTGAGTGATATTGGCATGCTCTTGGCAGGGCTTACACCTCCGGACTAACCTTTTCGCATCTTCATGCATCGTTGGCCAATAGTAGCCCTGCCTCAGTAGTTTGAGAGCTAAGGTTCTCCCGCTCAAGTGATTGCCGCAGATGCCTTCGTGTACTTCTCTAAGTACATAATCCGCCGTGGTTGGGTCGAGGCACTTAAGGTAGGGGAATGAGAACCCTCGTTTGTACAACTCTTCTCCCACTATGACGAATCGTGCGGCTCTCGTTTTTAACTTTCGTGCTTCGGCGGGATCCGTTGGAAGTTCTCCTTTTTTGAGATACTTCAGGATTGGAGTGAACCAGCATGGTTCATCCTCCTCGGTGTATTGTACTTCAGTGGGTGAAGTTATCTCCGGCTGAGGTGATGTGAGGAGCGTCACCTTCCGACTTCCGATGCTAGCCATGGAGCTTCCTAGTCTAGCTAACTTGTCAGCGTGGATATTGTTGGAACGGGGTACTTGTATTATCTCGTAGCTCTCGAATTTGGATAGGAGAGTGTGTGCGAGAGCTAAATATTTCGCCATGGTGTCTTCTTTGGCCTCGTAAACTCCGAGTACTTGGTTAACGACGAGTTGAGAGTCGCTTTGGATTAGGAGCTTGCGCGCTCCAGCTGCTAGGGCGAGGCGGATTCCCGCTATCAGGGCCTCGTACTCAGCGACGTTGTTTGAGGCTGTGAATTCGAATCGTTGAGCATATTCGAACTCATCTCCATCAGGGTTCGTTAGGACGATACCCGCTCCCCCTCCTGTGGCAGTGGACGATCCATCGACGCTGACGGACCAAGTTGGAAGAGAGGTACTTTCTTCTACGGAGGTCATTTCAACTAGAAAATCTGCCAATACTTGCGCTTTGATAGCCGGGCGGGGTTTGAATTCGACCCCGTATTCGCTTAGCTCTATCGCCCATTTTGCTAATCGCCCGGATGTCTCAGGACTTCTTAGTATTTGCTTCAGAGGATAATTGGTGAGAACCACCACTTGATGCGACTGGAAGTAAGGTCGAAGCTTCCGAGCTGCGTTGATGAGGGCGAGAGCGAGTTTCTCCATGTTGGTGTAGCGTTGTTCGGCTCCTTGGAGGGCGCGACTTATGTAGTATATGGGTTGGTGGCCTTTTCCTCCATCTCGGATGAGGACTGCGCTGATGGCATTAGCTGAGGTAGCTAAGTACAGTAGGAGGGTGTCTCCTGGGTGAGGTTTTGTGAGTAGGGGTGGGGATGCTAGGTACGACTTTAGCTCTGTGAATGCCTTTTGACATGCCTCATCCCACTCAAATTTCTTTCCTCCCCTTAAGATTTTGAAGAAGGGTAGGGCCTTGTCCGCTGATCGAGAAATGAATCTATTCAAAGATGCCAAACAACCGTTAAGCTGTTGGACTTTTTTGATGGATGTTGGTGGAGGCATGGAGGTAATTGCTTCGATTTTTGCGGGATTAGCTTCGATTCCTCGCTGTGAAATCATGTATCCCAAAAATTTACCACCTCGAACTCCGAACGAGCATTTGAGGGGGTTGAGTTTCATTTTGAGTTTTCGCAAGGTAGCGAAGCACTGATCCAGATCGGTTAGGTGATCTGAGGTTTTGACACTTTTGACGAGCATGTCGTCGATGTACACCTCCATATTTTTACCGATCTGATCTGCGAACATTGTGTTCACTAGACGTTGGTATGTGGCTCCTGCGTTTTTTAATCCAAAGGGCATGACTTGATAGCAGTAGATGCCTTGGTCAGTGATGAAACTAGCCCTCTCTTGATCCTCTGGCGCGAGTAAGATCTGGTTATATCCTTGGTATGCATCGAGGAAGCTGAGGAGCTCACACCCCGAGGTCGAATCGATGAGTTGATCGATTCTGGGTAGAGGAAATGGGTCCTTGGGACAAGCTTTGTTGAGGTCAGTGAAATCCACGCATAACCTCCACTTTCCCCCAGGTTTGGGAACGAGTACCACGTTCGACAACCATTCAGGATACTGAACTGGTCGTATATGACCCGCGTCTAGAAGTTTAGCCACTTCTGCCTTGATATGCTTGTTGCGTTCGGGTCCAAACGTTCGTTTCCTCTGTTTGACTGGCTTCATCCTCTTGTCGACGTATTCGCCTAAATGGCCCTGTTTGATCAGCCTCTCAATCGCCATTTTAAGTTGTGCACATTCCTCCGTAGTATGCCCTTTGTCTTTATGGAATCGACAATAGCGATCCGATTTTTCTCGCTTTGCATTAGGCTGCATAGGACGTGGAGGCTCCGCTAAACCTCTCTGTTCTATCACGTGAAGGATTTCAGTGAGGCGAGCGTTTAACGGAGTGAACCTATTGTAGGAAGAGGAGGGTTGGCTTGGAGGTGGAAGTGGTGGACGTCGGTCATCACGCCTCCTATTGTCCTGACGGTCATCTTCCCTTTTCCTTTTAGGGGGAGCGTGGGTGGAAGCTTCCTCTATCCTGACGTACTTTTCGGCTCGGTTTAACAACTCCTCTAGGTTGCCTGGTGGTCTTCCGGCAATAGATTCCTTGAATCTACCCGGTTTCAAGTTCTGTTGCATAATCCCTGAGAGCATGTCTTGCCCCACACTGGGGACTTCATGGACGGCTTCTACGAAACGTTTGATGTAGTTGCGGAGTGTTTCGTTGTCTCTCTGCACTACAGAGAAAAGATGAGCTGGGGTCTTGGCGTATTGTTTGTTGATGGCGAATTGGTTGGTGAATCGGGTCGACAACCGAGCGAAGGTGTCAATGGACCCTATGGGTAGGGAGTTGAACCAATTCATTGCCCTCTTGGAGAGAGTGGTGCGGAACATCTTGCACATCGCCGCATCCGTCGGGCCGTATAAATCCGCCATGGCACTGAATTTCTCAATATGTTCCTGTGGGTCGGTGGTCCCTTCAAATTGAGGTAACCCCGAGATCTTTACTCCTTGAGGTAATACCTCGTTGAGGATCTCTATGGTGAAGGGACTGCGTCTTGCTGGGAGAGGCATCCTCTCACCCATTTGATTATTTGGTTGGGAGAAAAGGTTTTGGCGAGACACTCGGCTGTTTACCTCGCCTTCTCCCTCATTAAAGAGAGGGATTCTTGGTGGCGATGCATTCCCCCGTAGGGGTGAGCGCCGACGTTGTTGTCTAGGCTGTGCTCCTCTGTGATTAGTAGATAGCTGCACTCGGGACCGTGGGTCCGACGTAGAGGAAGAGACGCTTATTTGATTCTGGATCGGCGGTGGGGCCACTGGTGGTGCTATAGGTGGAGCTTGTGCTGGTATCGCATTGGGAGCGTTTGCTCCCATCGTGGCGATATATTGAGTTACGGCCTCCGTGGCGGCGCGAGTAGAAGCTTCCGCTATCATACGTTGGAGTGCGTCCTCGGTTATCTGAACCGTTCGAGGAGCAGGGAGTGGTGGATCGGCGAGTGGTGGGTCCCGAGGGGGGATCACCTGAACCTCGCGAGGTGGATCTGCAGTACGTGGGGGAGCTGGCTCCGCGGCACGTGGAGGAAGTTGCTCCGCGGCGCGTGGAGGAGGTGGGATGCCAGATCCTCCATGGGCGGGGAGGTTATTAGCTGTGTCGTTTTCTCTCCGAGCTGATGCCTCAGGAGGATCTTGTTGGCTACGTGATCTGGTTTGCATCGTTCCCACAGACGGCGCCAAAATGATGATGCTAAAGTATAGCTCACCTAGGATGATGTAGAAAACAAGCAAGGAGAGCAAAGCTGATCAATAGCTATTCAACTCGATGATCCTGAGGTCCCTACAAAATGAGCACACGTGAACTAAGCCGGGGGTTGATCCGGCGGAAACCCCCTCCGACGCTCAAGTCAGATGTACGGATCGTAGAGAAAAGTAGAGAGAATAAACTTGTGGTCGATTATCAATAAGAATGAGAACGTACCTTTACGAATGAATAAACCATCTATTTATATATCGTTAAATGGGTTGGGCTTACTTTGTTGGGCCCAAGCCTTATTTTGAAAGAGCTTGGGCTTTCGCGTGATGGGCCCACTTGGTAGATAAATTTGAGGGCCCATTGAGCCGGCCTATTTAGGTATATCAACTATAAAAAATGAAAAAAAATAAAGGAAATTTTTTTATTTAGGAAAACTATTTTTAGGGTTTTGGGGCAACACCTTTATTTTATATATAAAGATTAGCATATATAATTTTACATATAAAGATTAATATATATGGGGTCTCTAAAATAATACACATACATTCTCTTCAAGGGTAATTTAGTCCAAACATATAATAAATAGAGAGAGAATGTGCGTGGAATATAGCAATGTCAGAGAGTGTGATTCCACTAACACAGTAAACTAGAAGAAGACATGCATATGACCTTAAACTTGCCACCTCATTGACTCGTGTATATGTCTTTTCTTTGTCAAATAGTACGTTGTTAAATTCAGTTTTTACATCTCTAAATCAAATTGACATTTTGCAACTTTCAAATGTTCTTTTGGCATCTTGAACCCTCCAAATCATTTAATAATAGTTACACCCTCAAAACACAATAAATTATTCACAAATCACAATGCACATCATTTTGTATTTTAATTTAATGAGGATAATTTCTTCTTGATCTGGTTTTTTCATGACAAAAACAAATTCTATCAAATGACTTGAAAAATACTTTTTTTTTAAAACAAGAAAGTTATTTTCAAATATTTTCTCGCCAAATTATCCGAGAGGTAGGTCTTTTATTAGAATCAGTAAACATAAATAGATACCCCTCAAGTGCAGGCGAATTACATTTGACGCTTTGCACTTGAAATATTTATAATAAGTAGCGGTGGGAATCGAACTCATGACCTTTCATTTGGTCTGACAATAATACCATGTTGAATGATCACCTCAACCAAAAGTTTAAACATTTAGTGAAATGTATCTTTCAATATTAATATCTCCAATAGTGTTAACCGTGCAATGTCGAATTAAAAAAGATTTCTTGAGCCATTTTTGTTTATAAAAACAATTCCAACAAATTATAATAAAAAAATTATTCCAACAATTTTATGAAAAAAAATACCTGTAAATTAATTTAGTGAGTGATTCTTTTAGTTTTGCACCTTGTACAGTAAACAATTTTCACACAAAAAAAAAAAAAACATGCCATTAGAAAGATGAATTTGCCACATTAACTATTAAAAATTCAACCGAGGTGCAGTTTGAATAATTTATTATATTTTTGGGGTGCGAGATGCTATTAAATTTTTCTAAGGGTGCAAACTGATAAAGTATACTATATTTTAAGGGTGCAATGCGGAATTAAGCCATTAAATTGAGTCAGTACAAAGTAGTGAACTACCCCTGAGTTCGACCTTCCGTTAATAAGTTGACGGGTCAATTAAACATCAATTTCTAGGAATATACAAAAAAAAAAAAAAAAGAAAAAAAAAACACCACCACAAGATTTGGTAATGGTTATGTGTTATGTGTAGCCTGTAGGGATTGGGGAATAAGGAATTACAAAGAAAGGAGAGACAAAAATAAAGAAAATAATTACTACTTGTTCGAATTTTCTTACCATGAACTATTGAAAAATTGCATAATGTATTAGTTATTAAATGTAGAATAATGAGTATCTTGGTTGAACCACAGCCAAACAAGTATCTAATATGCAATTAATAAATCATCCAAGAATTTTATATTCATATAATTAACATCTAACATGAATAAATGTTCATTAGTAATAGTAATAATATTGCTTCTCTATTAACTTAATTCAAATTTATTAATATAAATAAACTAGTTACTTTTACATATATATATATATATATATATATATATATATATATATATATATATATATATATATATATATATATATATATATGATGTATAGATTAATATCTTTTGCGATTAAAGTTGTCATTCTTTCGTGACAATGAATTAATACATGTTTTAATAAGAATAATTTTGCTACAACTTCGTTCGGTGCATTCTTAGAAGATTGTTTAAGTATTGCAGTTTCTTTTGATAGGGTTATTTTCCAATTTGTTAAACGAATGGGTAATCATCTTTGCTCATGCGATTGCGAAATCGTATAGCGGTCAGTGGCGGTGCTACCCTTTGGCAAGGGTGAATTCCAACCCACTCTGAATGTTTAAAAATTTATACTATATATTAGTCCTATATATAATTAGTTCACCCAAATAGTTTAATTTGACCCATTGAAGTAATTTAGTTTAGCCTATTCAACAAAAAAATTATACTATATTACAATTATTTTGTACTATTTTATGTGAATAAATCAAAAAAGAATCGGGGCACTGCCCCCAAACCCCGTAAATGCTAAGTCTACTCGGTCTCGAATTTTTGGCTCCCCCACTGATAGCGGTATTTGTAATGAATGTCTGTCTCTTTCTCAACTTGCCACCGTGGCCAAATAAAATGTCTTTTTATAAAAAAAACAAATAAAAACAAAAACCAAAAAAAAAAAAAAAAAAAAAAAAAACCAGAAAAAAAAGAAGAGTAAGAGTGAATCGATTAGACATTGAATCCATGAGCAAATAAATAGGTTTTGCCCGTTGAAAGAATCAAATTAACAACTGATTAGCTGTGTCCATTAACTTCACCCTCATAATTAATTTTTTTACAAATTCTAATTGATTAATTTTTTTCTTTGGAATTTAAACGCATGCCTTTTTTGTTTATTTGGCTTTTTGGCAAAATGAGTGAATGAATGACCCATCGCCTCCCTCTCCCTCCCATTTTGAAATTGTTACCATATTACATATATATATATATATATTACCCGTTGGAACTTCATATTCCCCAAACTACCCTCACTAAATCAACTATTTCCTCAATATATCCCATTACTCGTGTACTATATATACACATAGTTGAAATCTAATTCAAGGAATTCTTTACTAAATATGATTATAGCTTTAGTGTGATTGATTGTTGGATTATAATGCTACACCATATTGTGTTTAATTAGAAAAAAAAAAAGGATTTTGACTTTTATCGTAATAAATACCGATTTCAAATTAAGTATCACTTACTGTGGCTAAATTATAGACGAAAAACTAGCCGTTGCATTTCACTGTGTGTAACATTTACAAGACAGGTATCTAATGCACGTAATTTTATTTCAATTTTCTCTTTGTAAAATTATTTGTTAAGAGCATATTACACACCCTATTATTAATCTTTTTATGTATTTATTTATTTATTTTATTTTAAATAAATATAAAGATGGCAGAAATAGGTGGAGAAAAGGAAATTGGTTGTAGTATATATCCATGACATATACATACATGATATATACATACATACAGATACAGTAGGTGGTAAATAAAATTTATGGCACTCTGCCCAACAACTTCATTTTCCTTTGTATTTTTACCCAAATTAAGTATTATTATTTTTATTCTGCGTCGTCTTCTTCTTCCACCATTCTCCTTTCTCAATGGCGCTGCATACAGGTCTTCTTCTTCTACTCTTTAATTTCAATTTCTTAGTTACTTCTCTCTCTCTCTCTCTTCTTTTTCTTTTTGTTTTTGGGGAGAATTAATTTTGATTTTGTTTTTGTTAAATCTAACGAGTCTGAGAAAAAAAAAGCAATGCCTTTTTTGCAGGTAAAGATTCAGCCTGATATTTGCACCATCTCTTTGACTTGAATCTGTACTCTCTCTCTCTTTCTCTCTCTACATCTCTTTCTCTCTCTACATATATATTCAAGTACATACATAATTTGGTGGCGAAAGTACCTATTACACCCCAGCGCCTTCTCTTTCTCTTTTTTCGCTGCTTCTTTTTTGTGTCTGATTCCACCCTGGTAATAATACACATGAGTATATAAAAACACAAAATAATTAATAATAATATATAACCAGAGCCGCCCCCCATTAAAGTAGAGTTCCATTGATTTAATTTGTTTCTCTCTCACACACTAACACACACATAAGAATCTAGAGAGAGAGAGAGAGATGGGTTGTTGGTATTCAAGATTAGATAGAGAAGAGATGGTTTCAAGATGCAAGGCTAGAAAGAGATACATGAAGCAGCTTGTTAAATCTAGACACTCTTTCTCCGCCGCCCACAGCATGTATTTAAGGTCTCTCCGCAACACCGGCTCCGCCCTTCTTCAGTTCGCCACCGCCGAGACCAGCCTCCACCACCACCTCCACCACCTCCGCCACCACAACCCACCACCCAACCCCTCTCCACCCCCTTCCTTGCCCAACCGCCCACCCCCCCCAATGAGCCCCATTTCCTGGACAACCACCTCCACCACCACCACCACCACCTCCTCCGCCATCCGGCCACCCCCTCCGCCGCCTCCGCCGCCTGTCCCATCTTCATCCACCTGGGATTTCTGGGACCCTTTCATGCCCTCTTCCGGTCGGTCGGTAGACGAGGAGGAGTGGGAGGAGGAGGAGACCACCACCGCCTCCGAGGTGGCCCCAACCACCACCACCACCACCGCCACCAGAGCTCAGAGCATGGCCGCCCCGCCTTCTGCCATCACAACCACCGCCAGCAGCGATCTCGCAGTAGTAGTATCCACCAAGAGCAAAGATCTGGTCGAGATAATCAAAGAACTCGACGACTACTTCTTGAAAGCCGCCAACGCCGGCGGCGAACTCTCGATGCTGTTAGAAGTTCCCATTTGTAGTAGTTTCAATCGCCAAACATCCTCAGGTAATAATAATCCTTAATAAAAATAATCACTTCTAAATTCCTTTTCTTTCGACTATTTCTGAATATATATATATATATATATATATATATATATATATATATATATATATATGTATATATATATAGCAGCAAAGGATTATGGGTATGGGAAGAGTAGTTCGACTCCTTTGTTATGGATATGGGGTTCGAGCAGTGCAAAATGGAACGCATTTGGGAAATTCGGCGAAGATCCAATCGGAAATAATAATTGTATGGCTTACGATGGCAGCGCTACTCATTCTTCGACAGTCGAGAGGTCTATACGCCTGGGAGAAAAACTCTACCAGGAGGTTAAGGTATATTCCCTTCAAGGCTGAATCTTTACCGCGTAATTTTAATCTACGGATATTGTTCGTTAACTATGTTACTATACATATTATAAGATATGCTCTTTTGTTTTTTTTGCGAAAACTATATTTTACTAAGTTGCTATACTTTGTTCGTGTAGAATGCGGAGTATATGAAAATAGAGCATGAGAAAAAGGCAGGGGTGCTGAGGAAGCTAGAGATGAAGAATGCCGATTATATAAAGACCGAGAAGGCGAAGAAAGAGGTCGAGAAGTTGGAATCTCAGATGACGGTTGCCGTGCAGGCGATAGAGACGACTTCGACCGAGATTATCAAATTGAGGGAATCCGAGCTTTATCCACAACTCTTCCGTCTTGTCAAAGGGTTAGTTCTCTCTCTCTCTCTCTCTCTCTCTCTCTCTCTCTCTCTCTCTCTCTCTCTCTCTCTCTCTCTCTCTCGTGTGTTAATTCTTGTGATCTTGGCTCTAAAATTATGCATGTGAAATTCCCTTAAAATAGGAGTTAGAAATGTTAATCGAGAGTCAAAAGACGCAACCTTTTAGTAGGATAATGTAGCATTAATATAGACGTGCTGCGGTTTACCAATCTGTATTGGCACTAGAAATGGAAATCAATGCATGCCATTTTCCGTTTGTGTAAATATATTCTACAATTTCAAAGCATTCATGATTTCACGCGATGTGTGCGTAAATATATATC